CGAGCTTTCGGCGCCAGCTTCCCACCGCGCTGCTGCTCAGGGACCATGAACTGCACCATGCAGCCCCACACCCGCGCCAGCGTGAGGTCGGGCTTCTTCCCGGTCAGCAGCTGGTACGGAGTCGTCCCTGGCGGCGTCGTCGACCGCTCCAAGCAGTTGCGCACCCAGACAGCTTGTCGTAGAGCGAGGTGCCACCAGTGGTGCTGCACGCCCATGTGCAGCAGCATCGTCCTCACGGACTCGACGGTCGTGCGCATCTCCCGCTCAGCCATGCCGTTCTGCTGCGGAGTGTAAGGGCACGTCAGGTCGTGGACGATGCCCTTGCCGTCGACGAATTCGGTGAACTCCTTCCCGAGGAACTCCCCTCCTCGGTCTGAGCGGAGCATCAGCACCGACTTCTTCGTCTGTCGTTCCACCAGCACCAGCCACCTCTGAAACTCCCGCAGCACGTCGCTCTTCTTAGCGATCGCCATCACCCACACAAATCGAGTGTGGCGATCCTTCAGCAGCAGGAAGTACAGGCTGCCATCCTTGGCAGCGACTCAAAATGGCCCGCACAAGTCAATGTGCACGACAGCCAACGCCTCCGCGGCGTCCGAGCCTGTGGCGGGGAAGGTGTGCCGCGCCAGCTTTCCTCCGACGCACGAGATGCATGGCGGGTCTGTTCCGATCGACGGGGTGATGTCAAGGCCAGTAGCAACGTCATGTTTTGCCGAACTCTTTATCGTGTCGACGCTAACGTGCGCGAGCCACGCATGCAACCGATCAGGGGTCGACTTCGTCGCCGGGACGATCGTCCGCAGAGCCACTACCTCGGTCGACTGCGACTGCATTGGGCAGGGGCGAAGGTCGGTGCAGAGGACTCGTCCAGCGTAGCGTGCTCGACCGAGCACCTTCCCGGTCGCGGCGACGAGCAGCATCTCGTCGCCGTCGCCCTTCAGCTGCACCCCGCTCTCCTTCAGTTGGCCCGCAGATAGCAGGTTCGCATGCACGCCCGGAACGTAGAGCACGTCGGGGATGAGAACCCGCTTCCCGGCCTCCCCTTGCAGGGCAATGGTTCCGCGACCCTCGACAGGCTGCAGCGCCCCGTTGAATCCACGTACGTGTTTCACGCTACCGCTCGGTGCCATGTCGACAAAGACCGCCTTCGTCCCCATCAAGTGGTGGGAGCAGCCGTTGTCGAGCAACACTGCCATCGGGTTGGCTTGCACAGCTGCCGCCACTGCCTGGAAGTCCTCGCCAGCCTCCGGCGCCAGCGAGACCGTCGGCTCCACCAAGCCGACCATCGAACACGACGCCTCCCCGTCGCCTCGGCTCTTGCCGCTGGAGTGGTCGACGTCCTTTGTCGACGACGTTTTCTTCGACGTCTGCTTCTCCCTGCGCGGCATCTCATTTCGACGGGGGCGACTGCTGGTCGACCGGCCACGGCCTCCCTTGGTGTCGTCCTCGTCACTTTCGTCGCGGTCAGGACATTCGTAGGAAAGATGGTCGGGATCATGGCAGATCCAGCACTCTCGCCGTCGACCATCACCTCCACGGCTTTTGCCCCGCGTTGACCTTTTCTCGTCGACGTCCTTCGTCGACCCCCCACCTCCGCTACCACCGCCGCCATGCATCTTGCGCTGCCTTTGCTGCTGATTCAGCTTCGTCGGTGCAGCGTAGTTAGCCTGGGGAAGGAGCTCCGTGGGCTGTTCGGCCTCCTGCATCGCCTCATCTTGGAGGATGTAGCTGGTGATGGAGTCCTCGTCAAGGGACTCACGCGTGCCAGGTACCATCATCATCCTTTTCATGAGGTTGTATCCGCGTGGCAGGCCCTTGACGATGTGGGAGATGTAGGACGCCGTCGAGTATTCGGCACCCGCCATCCGCATCTCAGCCAGAATCCGTCGAGCACGGTTGCAGTAGTCCGTCGCCGACTCTTGCTCGCCCATTCGAATATGAGTCATCTTTTCCTCCAGTTGTGCGATGTACAGGTCATCCCTGACCTGGTACGTCGACAGGATGAAGTGCCATGCCTGGTGGCCCGCATCCAGTCGCTCTCGACAGCTCCTGAGCGCCAGCTGCACTAGCGGTGAGCAGCACCTCGAGATGACCATGAAGGTGAGTAAGTGAGCCGCACGAAACTCCCCGCGTAGCCCGACATCGTCCACGGGCGGAGTGGGCACTGTGCCGTCGGCGAAGCCCTTCAGCCCGGCGACCTCCAGCTGAGGTTCGATCGACTCCCTCCAGGTGATCAGGTCTCGTCGACCTTGCAGCGGTGCGACGGTGATCCGGTCCGGCGAGAACTTGAAGTAGCCATACGTCGGTGCGATCCCGCCCGACGTCACATGCGTCGTCGCTGAGAGCCCTCCACTGCTTTGTAGGGGTGAGCGACGTCGACCATCGATGTTGGCATGCGAGCTGCTTGCAGCTGCCGCCGACTGCTGCACTTGCGCCTGACTCCTGTCGACGCCAACGTCGACCTTGAGCACTCCTCTCTGCTTCGTGCCATAGTTGCCGCTGACTCGTGCACCGCCGTCGACCTCGTCGTCGACGCCACCTTCGTTTCGCACCGGTGGAGGAGTAGAAGGACGGGAGGGGTGTTCCGTCGCCGACTGCGATCGGATGCCCAACTCGACGATCACCAAGGGGATCGTCCCGTACTCGCCATCCGCGTGGCGTTTCCTCGCATCAGCCAAGCGTGTCTCCAAGGTGTCCGCTATGCCCGCATTAGCTACGGGGTCGACCATGGTGGCTATCGCTGCTGCCGGCCTACGAACGACTTAGTAGGTGCAAAAGTCGGCTCCTATCTGAAGGTCGCGTGTTCGATCCATGCTCACCGCACCATGTGGAGAGTCACTCTACAGCGGTGGTGAGCTAGACTACAAGGTTGGCACGAACTACTAGGAGTGATCGTAGCTTCCCTAGTTCCTTAGTGCTTGCACAATTACGGGAGAAATCGGCAAGAGTTTCACTAGCAAAGTTGGAGTTACAGGATTGTTGAACAAGCAATGACAAGAAAGACTACATCAGGCACCTAGCAATTCTGCAGCTAGCATGGTCGACAGACAGCACAGCATGGTCGACCGCGTGCCAGCGTTGCGTAGAGGAGCCGCGCCAGCACTGCAGAAAGGCGACCTGCCAACACAGCAAGTCGACGGTGTGCCAACGCTGCAGCAGCGCGGCTGTCCAGCGTTGCACCGTAAAAGACAGCAGTGCGCACGCTTACAGGTGCGCGCAGACGATTGGCCCGACTTGCACCGTTGTGCATTCGTCGGCTGTTGTCTGCGCCTGACGAGCCACATTGACTTCAGGATACCAACCCGAAGTCGCCTTCGTCATCGCGACCTCGACGACGTTTGCGTGCCTCCGCAAAACCCGCCGAGCAGGTTACTTGGTCGACCTAAACAACCCCAGGTGCTCTGGTCGACCACCAAGTGCCTCTGGTCGACCACCGGGTCCCTCTGATCGACCGCCAGGTGCCCTTGGTCGACCACAACTCCCGTCGAGCTACCCCCTGGTCGACAGACCTCTTCTGTCGACCAGAACTGTCAGCTGTTGTCGTCGAGCTCCCCTCGTCGACCGCTGCTCACTTGTCAGGTCGACCTCCTGGTCGAACTGTCCCTCCTAGTCGACGGCCCATCCGTCGCCCAGACCAGTCAGTTGCAGCTGTCGAGCTCCCTGGTCGACAGCAACACCACAGCGGTCCCCTGCAGCTCGACGAAGCCATTCGAGCAGCTCTCCCACTGTGGATGGTCGGCTGCTACTCCCGTACATCCGACCAAGTCGTCGGCGTTGCCCAAGCGAGGGCGGGGCCAACACTTCATTCCCGTTAACAATACCTGCATGCTTACTCTTTCTAGGTTGTGTTCACTGTATTGCTTGTTTTCTTTTATATAACTCAGCATGTGAACTGGCCTTGTGGCCATTTGCTTGTGCTCAGACTGCGTGGTGACTTTGTGATCCACCCTGAGCTTGCTTTGCCTTTCTTGACTGGTCTTGTGACCCCTTGTTCTCCCCCACTTTGCCTATGGGGTGTGTCAAACTTATATATGCTATAGTCTGTTTAGGCTGTAGTGGGGTAGTTCTTAGAGGGTACAACACTTTTAGGTTTCCTACTTGTACCCACCTGCTTTCTAGTTTAGTCATTCATTCGTTCACATTCTAACAGCATCAACCCTAAACACCATGAGGCAAGGTGTTTAGAGTTGCTGCCTCCCAAATATCCAGCCATCCTAGAGGGGTTTATTTTTTCCACTGGCCACTAAACTAAAACCAGGTAAACTTCAGAATTTTCCTGGTCACGGGAAATTGGAAATGTCGAAATCAGCTGCCCCAAGGAATTGGACGCGAGAGGAGAAGCAAGGCGGTGTCAAAGCCACTGCCAAAAGGAATCGGAAGCTTGAAAACAAGGCGATCCGTCATTTCCTGGTGAATCGTTTGGTTCCGTTGCGCATAGGGTATCGCTGGCCTTCAGGCACACGACGAAATAACTTGCACGGCTCGGAGGGCCTCATAAAACATCACCGAGCCACAACCTATGATCGAACCTTACGTTCTGCTTGAATGCGTACCGTGCCGCAACTCCGAACCAGAACCACAAATGTGTCACAACCACATCGCAAGACCGAACCAAATGGACAAAGCCAAAACAACCACCAATTGCCGAATCGCTGGCACACCCCACCAACATTGCTCTATATTCTCGCCCAGGTCCAAACCAAACCAGACCAAACGAGCACCAGCACATTCCCTCACTTCCCCCTGCGCACCCACACTCAATTGAAACCCCCTTTCGCTGTTCTCACTGTCATTCTGGCCCGTTTATCACCTCACCATCTGCGCCGCCTTTTCCCCTTTCAGTTTTAACAATTCCGTACACCTTCCCACGCCACGCTCGCTCCTCATTTGCCACCCTGAAGTTCCCTGCCTAGTTTTCCCAGCAGCCCGTGACCCGTCCCGTTTCCGTCAGTCGGGAAGTCCCCCGTTCGACTCTATCTGCTGCCTAGTGGTGGCAAACGATGGCCGACGCGATCGGATATCCCGTGCCTGGCCCAGCACCCGCACAGGCACCGGCACCAACCGCGCCTCCGCCTGTGCAATTCAATGCGGTGCCGATGGGCTCGTGGACGACGGGATGCTTCGGCTGCTTTGAGGACATTAACGTTTGTAATAAAGCTTTTTATTCCCTACCCTTGTTTGTTTGTTTGTTTGTTTTGTTCTGTTCTGTTCTGTTCTGTTTGTTTTGTTTGTTTGATTGTACGTTAGCATTTTCGGCCGTTAAGGAATCCATCGCGTGCTGTTTTCTTCATTCCTCCCGCAGGTTGCTGCTCTTTCTGGTGTCCCTGCGTCGCTTTCGGTCGAATCGCCGAAATCGTGACCGACGGTAACGTGGGTAAGTGCTTACTGCGCTGACGGTTTTTGTTTTGTTCTGACTGTAATTCATTTTTTGCTTTTGTTCTGCCGCATGCCGCTTTGCCATTTGCATTTCCGTTGGCCCACCCTTCTCTCACTCTCGCCGTTGTTTCTTTGGATGGTCGCAGATGCGCAGGAGGCGTGCGTGATCTGGTGCTTCGTGGATGCTTGCCTTCTGGCAGCATGCGTATATTCATTCGGTAAGTTCAGCTCACACGAAGTGTTCTGAGACGTCTCAAAACACTACTTCTTCGCGGACACACTTGCCTTCTGGCAGCATGCGTATATTCATTCGGTAAGTTCAGCTCACACGAAGTGTTCTGAGACGTCTCAAAACACTACTTCTTCGTGGACACACTTGCCTTCTGACAGCATGCGTATATTCATTCGGTAAGTTCAGCTCACCCAGGGGGCGATCCTAGTTCTGAGACGTCTCAAAAGGTTTCAGCTTACCCAGGGGGCGATCCTATTTCAGCTCTGCCGCCCTCTCATCCGTGTGTCTCCGGACCCCTGTCATCTCTTTTGTCCTTTCTTCGATCCGTTTGCCTGTTCGTCGTCTAATCGTCGGCTTATTCGTTCTTCTGATCGCCTGCCCTCCACGTCTCCTTCTGCCTCTATTTCAGGTTTCCGAACGAAGCTGAGGGCCAAGTACAACCTGCCCGGCGATACCATCAAAGACTTTTGCCTCGACTGGTGCTGTGGATTCTGCTCCTTCTCGCAGCAGTACCGCGAGCTCCAGAATCGCGGATGGGCTGTCGCAGACGGTGAGTTTGTAACGATTGTACACTTAAAACGGCTGTAACGTGGCTGGCCCATATCGTTAATTTTGTTGGCTATGGTGGTGAGGCTGTTCGTGAAATACCTTCTAAAGGGGTGTTCAGAGCGGGAAGTGTCAGCAGTCGCTGATAATCCCTTTGCAGTGTCTTCCAGCCCAGTGCTCCTTTTCTGTTCTGCATGACCTGTCTGTAGGTTGGCTAGGTTCTGTTTCGTTGGCTAGGTTAAAGGTTAACCGTTCATTGTTTCCTCTGGCTTTTCCTTGATGCCGACAGGTTACAAGGCGAACATTCAGCGATTTCAAGCCGGTAATAACACGGCACCTGAGGGCCAGTTTATGTCAAAGTAGGAAGGGGCAGGTGCAGGGTGGTTGTCGAAGATGGTATGCGCTGCGCGTCTAGTGGGGAATAACAATGCAGATTGCTGGTTTATCATCTGAGCTTGTACTCAGCATGAGCAGCATGCTGCATGATTGAATATGCTTCTGGTATAGTGCTCGTCCAAAATCAAAGCAACGCATAATTCAGGTTTTTGTTATCCGTATAATCCAGGGTTATCCTAGCATGTGTCAACTGCCATCTCAAGGTTTCATTCCCATCAAGACTGTTAGAATTTGAAGTGATTGAATAGGATCGTACTACTTAGGATGGTAGCTTCCTGTCGTAGCGGAAGTCTTATATGAGTTAAAGCCAGTTATGAAGGCTTTGTCTGGACTTAATAAAAGCCCATGTAGTGATATGTTTCAGGATCAATGTCTCTGAAATCAGATATATTATAAAATGACAAACATACAAAATATATAGCTAGAGTAAAGTACCTGTTCGCCTACTGTACTGTGCTATTCTTGTTCTGAAACGGTACGTAACTTTTCGCGAGGTCTATAGCTACGTGCTGACGTCATCCTAGGGCGCGTAGCGCTTTGCTGTCGTCAGCCTATCGGTACTTTACTGTTTCGTGCGAAGTCTCGCACTGTACTACACGAATCCTTGAAGTGCTTAAGTCTTCATATTATCTCAACACTCCCCTTCACTTCCAGGAGTTCGGTGTAGTTACCCAGTTGTTTCAGTAATGCCGCTGAGCTGGTTGTAGTGGTGAAACTTCTGTCGTGTCAGTTTCTTGGTAAGTGAATCAGCTGCCATGTCACCAGTGGGACAGTAGACAAGGCGCATCCTCCCTTTGTCGATCGCATCTTTGACGAAGAAGTAACGCAGTGAAATGTGTTTCGTGCGATTGACGAAGCCGGGTTTGTTGGCGATGGTAATCGCACTCTGGTTGTCGCACTGCAACGTGAACTGATTCGGCGTGACGAACTTTGCTTCGTCGAGCAGTTCCTGTAAGTATAGTCCTTCTCAAGTTGCAGCACACGCGGCAATGAATTCTGCTTCAGCTGAGGAAAGTGACACGAGTTCCTGTTTCGATGAGTTCCATGAGATCGGGCCAATTGGCTCGAGACGAAAAATGTAGCCTGTTCGTGACCGACGATCTGACGTGTCACCAGCGTGGTCTGCGTCAGCATATCCACTAAGGTACATTTTGTCGGTCGGTTTTCCTGTGTTGAAAATCAGCCCGACTGTTGGTGTTGCAACAAAATAGTGTAGAGCGCGCTGAAGATCGAGATGGTGTTCTTCTTTTGGGCAGCGTAAAAATTGTGCGAGATAGCTTGCGACGTACGCAAGGTCGGGACGACACGTGACTGTTAGAATCATAGGCAAAAGTGGATGTCGAGAGAGTTGGTACAAGGAAGAAACCTAAGGGGTTGTACCCCACAGTGAGTAACCCACTAAGCCTACCCAAACTATAACATATATAAACATATGTTGACACACCCCCATAGGCAGAGTGGGGGAGAACAGAGGGTCACAAGACCAGTCAGGAAGTGCAAAGCAAGCTCAGGGTGGATCACAACGTCACCACGCAGTCTGAGCACAAGCAAGAAGACCACAGGGCCAGTTCACATGCAGAAATATATATGTAACAACAACAGTACAGTGATATCTACCAACAAGAACAAGCATGCTGGAATACATATAAATCATGGTACAAACAAAGCCTACAGCAAGTGAGGAACTGTGGGCACAAGGCCTAACAAAGTGCAGAAACGCTGATGATCACCAGGCGGAAGCGCCTTGGTGAATATATCAGCAGTGTTGGGCCGAGTGGCCACGTAGGTAAGACGAAGCTGGCCACGCTGCTGCAGCTCTCGAGCAAGAAAGTAACGGAGAGCGATGTGCTTTGTTCTGTGCTCCAGTCTGTGCTCCTGACACAAGGCAATGACGGCCTTGTTGTCGACGTACAGAACTGGAGGAGAACGAGGCCGCTCTCCCAAGTCAGTCAGCAGGTAGGTGAGCCAGCGCAGCTCCTGTGCAGCCATGGCTGTGGCGTAGATCTCTGCCTCACAGCTGGAGCCGAGAACTGAAGACGAACGTGTAGAACGCCAGGAAACTGAACCAGAACCAAGGCTGAAGGTGTAACCCTGTGACGACCGCTGCGTAGCCTGGTCGTCAACCCAAGAGGCGTCAGAGTGACCTGTGAGGACAACGTCACCCCGTCCTCCAAGCACGAGCCCCATGCCCGATGTACTGCACAAGTAGTGTAGTACCCTCTTGGCAGCATCCATGTGCACCTTTCGGTGCTGACCAAGAGCCACGTAACGAGCCAGAAGGCCAAGAAGGTACGCAAGGTCAGGACGAGTGCAAGTCATCAGGTACATGAGGCAGCCCACTAACTCTGGGTAAGGACCACTCGGCTCTACGGACTCGTCCGAAGGTGGAGCTCAGAGCGAGTGACCTGTAGCCAGAGGAGTGGCTTGTGCTGAGGACCAGGTGAAACCAAAGCGCTGAAGGACCTGGTGCACCATGTGTGACTGAGTCAGTGTGATGGTGCGGCGTGCTCTGTCCCGGGTGATCTGCAAGCCAAGGTAGCTGCGCAGTTCACCCAAGTCTGTGCACGTGTGTCTCTTCTGCAGCTCCGACTTCACCAGGGCGAGAGCCTCAGTGTCAACAGTGGCAAAGACCAAGTCGTCGACGTACACGAGAACGTAGAATGGCGGCAGCGAAGTGTCGGTGCGCAAAAACAGCGACGGGTCAGCAGTCGACAGAGCAAACCCAAGAGCCGCAAGTGTCGTCCTCAGTGTGTCGTGCCACTCACGTGGCGCCTGGCGGAGACCGTAGACCGGCCGCCGGAGGCTCCACTGGGTACCAGGAGGGAACGACCCAGTGAAGCCAGGAGGGCGGCGCAGCCAAATCTCCTAGTGCAGGCTGCCCTGTAAGAAGGCTGTGCTGAAGTCAAGAGAGTGAAGCTCGTAGTCACGCTGAGCGGCAACGTGCAGCAGCACCCGAAGAGTGGTCATCTTCGGGGTGGGGGAGAAGGTCTGGAAGAAGTCAACTCCCTCTCGCTGACTGAAGCCTCGAGCCACGTAACGAGCCTTGAAGACAGGCGGAGAACCTGGCGGCCGCTTCACCCTGAAAATCCACATGCCACTGACAATGTTCGCCCCAGGAGGGGGAACCTCGTCGACGTAGGTGCCTGTGGACTTCCAGGATGCCATCTCTGCGTCCATGGCTGTCTGCCACTGAGAGGAGTACTCACCCGCGATCGCCTCAGCGTAAGAGCGCGGGGTAGGGATGTCTGGTGCATCCGGGTCTCCCTCAGGGGCAAGCAGCATGGATACGAGATGAGGCGCAGCGGCTGCAAGACACTCAAGGTCCTCCTGTCTATCCTCAAGGACGTCCGTGCCAAGAGCACACTCACCCTCGACGGACGGAGGAGAGACAGACGCAGACTCAGCAACAAGACTGGCTGCGTAGTCTAGACGACAGTGAGCAGCAAAGGCAACAAGCTCAGTAACTAAGGCAGACGCAGCAGCAGACTCAAACGACGGGTCAGTGACAACAGTGGCAAGCAGACGCGTGACAGTAGAGTGGTCAGCACGAAACCGGTCAGACGCAGGGTCAGCAACGACAGGCAGAGAGGACGCAGGGGGAGGCGGCAGAGGAACACGCGGTGAAGGAGAGGAAGGACGACCAACTACAAGGGGAGGGCCGGAGACAGCCGGCAGGCTCTGACGAGGAACACGACGACCGGAACTCACGGGGGAGACAGGACGCGACGCAGGCTCACGACGCTCTGCAAGGCCACTAGGCTGCTCTGTGTATGGCGAAGGAGTAGGCAGCGGTGAGCCAGGCTGTAATGGAAGACCAGTAGACGAGGGAAGACTGAGAACCTGGCGAAGTGCAGAGTCAGGTGGTGGCTGCGACGACGGAGACGGCGGAGCAAAGAGCAGGCGCGGCTGAGCAGTGCCACCAGCACGAGCAGCACCAGCTCCTCCAGCAGCTCCAGTACCTCCAGCAGCTCCAGCACCCCCAACAGCTCCAGCACCTCCAGCAGCTCCAGCACCTCCAGCAGCTCCAGCACCCCCAGCAGCTCCAGCAACTCCAGTACCCTCAGCAGCTCCAGCACCTCCAGCGGTACCACCACCAGCCCCAGCAGCTCCAGCACTCCCAGTACGAGCACCTCCGGGACCAGCGACACCCGCAGAACCTCCAGCAGGAGAGCCCTGAGGTGCAGAAGTGGGACGCTGACGGCGACCGTACCAGTCGTGCAGCTGCTGGGAGGTGAGGGGAACACGCACACGCGGACGAAGACGGCTACTCCAAGGAGACCGCGTAACAGCAGTCTCAAAACCCTCAGGCAACTCACCCCCAGACTCAGCACCCCCAGGCTCCGCACACACAGGCTCAGCACCCCCAGACGCAGCACCTCCAGACGCAGCACCTCCAGACGCAGCACCTCCAGACGCAGTACCCCAAGACGCAGCACCTCCAGGCTCCTCACGCGCAGGCTCAGCACCTCCAGGCTCCACACGCTCAGCGTCCCCAGACTCAGTACCCCCAAGCTCCGCACCCCCAGGGACAGCACCACTCGCAGCAGGACCGGAGTCACCAGTGACCTCAACAGGCGCAGGCGCAGGGGGGTCTACCTGAGAGACACCTGAAGGAGCAGGACCTGGCGCGGGGAGGGGGTCTACCTGGGGAGGACCTGGGGTGAGAAAGAGCGGCGGGGGGGGGGGCGAGGAGCAGTGCGGTAGGGGAAGAGGCGGTAAAAGGGGACGGACTCGTCAAAGGTGACGTCCTGAGACGCAAAGACACGGCGCGAGGCGGGGTCGTAAAACTGCCAGCCAGGCGCGTCAGAGACAAAGCCAAGGAAGACGCAAGGAATGGCGCGAGGGGAGAGCTTGTCCGCGGTGGTATCGCGGACAAAGGCACGAGCACCCCAGACCCGGAAACGCGACGCGTCGCCAACCTTCCCCGTCCACAGCAGTGTGGGCGAGGTCTCCGGCAAGGAGACACG